GATACATCAATACTTACCATCGCGTTACAATTGCCTGCAGTATTCAGTACAGTAAGATGCTGCACAGGTGTGTAGCCCAGGAGCAATGGGCTATACCACATAGCCCAGGTGGGTAGGAGGCTGTACCATCCAGGTGTCTATAAGTGCACTCTGCGGTGTTCACACAGCTATGACATCACCTAACGACACATTTCGCAGAACGTATTTCCATCACTGAGCGACGTGTGGCTGTATGTGTTCCATTCCTTCCTTCTGCTACACTTTTCCATCGCCTCTCTTCAGATCTCTCTTCTAACTCACTTCTCATTTGGTTTGAGTGTTTTGTTCAGCCCTCGTGTGCCCTGAAAATGCCCTGACAGAATTAATGGTATCTTGCCTGGGATGAAGACTCTTGGGTCACAAATCTTTTCCCGAATATTTAAAGTTTTGTTGTCTTTTAGCTGCCAGTGTTGCAGAGGTAGAGATGAATGCTGAGTTGACTCTCTTTGACAGCCACCTCTTCCCACCTGTGTGAACCAGTGTGATGCTCCCTTTACCCTTGGGAGGCACGTAGGAATCTCAGAGGCGTATGAGAAATAGAGGAATCCCTACCTCACTGAACTGCATCTCTATTTCGAGTCCTCATCTCGCTTGGATGGAGGACACCTAATCTTAGGGCTACACATCAGTTCTTGGGTAGGGGTGGGGATTATGTAGTGCTGAGGTGGACGACGTGGAGCACGAGGAGGATCCGGTCCTTGGTGTCATCTGCCCTGCTGCCCTCTCCCAGGATGTCCCCAGGACACATACTGCTGTGCTGAGGTGGCTGGAAACACCTGCCATGTGGAAAGTGCTCAACAAACACGGAATAAATGAGAGCGGGCTACGCAGGCAGGAGGTCTGCAATGCAGTCCCACTCTCCGAGCACAGTGGAGTCACTGTGGTGGGCCAGACACCAACCACTGCTAGACCCATTAGCCAGAGAGACATGAAGGGTGGGGCTGGGGAAGAGGTGAAGATAGGAGGTGACAAGTACCCCCGGCACATTGCATGTAGCACTGCCACATCACAGTGACTTACCGGATCTTTGCTCAGAGCTGGCCAGGCATTCTCTTACTGAATCACTGCACTTAACTTTCAGGGAAAGAAAAAGATTCTTCTTTATTCCCATCTTACAGATGGGGAAATTGAGGCTTCAAGAGATTAAGTAACTAGAGAAGCTGGATTCAAATCAGTTCAAAAGTTGAAGCCCAAACCTCCATTCCATATGGCTTCTTCACCAGCTTAGTATGATAATCCCCACATGACAGAGGAGGAAACTGAAGCCCAAAAAGATAAGAGACTTGCTCAAGTGAGTGGGAGAGCTGGACTCAAACCCAAGACAAGAGCTCGGGCTGTTTAACTTCAGGGGTTCCTACCTACTAGGGGCGAACTCACCATGTACTAAAATCAACTCAAAATGGATCAAGGATTTAAATATACACCCCGAAAC